CATACTCTCTCTACAACGTATATTCAATCAAAATTGTACGAGGCAAAAATCACTTGCTCTGATGGGTATTAAATAAATCGCTCTCTAATCAAAATCTTGTTGTTTCATCTGTGGTACTCACTCTATCAATGTCTTTTATCTTTTTACCAGCAAAAATTTGATTAACCTGACAAAATCAGGTTACTTAGGTAATAGTTAGTTACACATGACCCCTCAAGCATGTGATGCTTTCATTCTTATCGTGTTCAAACAAAGGATCTTACTTACCCCCGTCAATTACCCTCCCCTAATAGAACAGAATTGTTACAGTCCTCTAGTGCTCCAGCCTGTAATGACTTCTCGTGGGAAGCTGTTTGCCATCAAGTCATGTTCGTATCTTACCCCACGGCTTGGTGCGTTAAAATGATCGAGGGTGGAGGCTTTCTTCGACCTCATGGATTCACTGCTGACACCTTCAACAGACCTTACAACCAAGTGGTATGTGACAAGAAAAAAATGACGTTGGACCTCTTCAAACTGGATGAAATATCCACTAGCCTACGGTAGTTTTAAGAAGTTCCCCAGTGTGTTGTGTAGCTTTTTTCCAGTCTCATTTGTAAGGGTTAGTTCAGTTTCAAATCATTAATTCAATTTGCGCCCTCGGTAACATGGGATAAGCAAACCTGTGCAAAGCATCCTTCGACCAAGCCGCCCCTCCATACCAAAAAGCGATGAACCATCTACGACTACAAACGAAAAAAACAGACAACGGAACAACATACTCTGGAGCAACCCCCATTCAGCAAAAACGTCAGCACCAATATCGGACATAGTTTCCTTACCCTTGCAGACAAGCACTTCCCTAAAGACCACAATCTCAGAAAAATGTTTAACCGAAATACAATCAAGATCAGTTACAGCTGCATGAACAACACCAGACACATCATCGACAATCACAACAAATGCGTTTTAAATTTACCCCAACACATCGACGACATCGCAGATGGCACCAATACAAAAGACAACAAAACTTGCAACTGCCGACTAAAGAACATTTACCCACTTAATGGAAAATCCCTCCAAACATCAGTAATCTACCAAACCACCGTCATACGTAAGGAAAACAACACCACTGAAACATATATCGGACTCACACAAAACGACTTTAAAACTAGATACAGAAACCACATCACATCTTTCCGACACATAAAACATTGAAACTCTACCGAACTCAGCAAACCCATCTGAACTCTCAAATAAATTAACATCGACCACTTTATTTCATGGCGCATCCTTTCATCTAGATCACCCTATAACAGCTCGGGTAAAAGATGCAGCCTCTGCCTAAAAGAAAAATTACTCATCCTCTGCCGACCTGAATTGATCACTCAATAAACGTAGTGAACTTATGTCCTCATGCCACCACAGAAACAGATATTGCGCAGTAATACTTTGTTTCTGTGGCGGCATGAGGACACAAGTCTATCACGTTTATTGAGGGATGATAACTCGGGTCAGCAGATGATGAGTAGTCTCCTACCCCTAACCCTGCAGGAGATGGGGCCTACGCTTTATTCGTCCTTATCCGAGAAGACTAGAATATCTATCTATTTCCTAATATTATAGAAAGGTAGCACATTCTCCTCAGTTATTTTAAGACCCTGAGTGTTGGTCCGGTCGGGGCTTGAGCCCTCGACCTCCCGCACAACAGTCCGGCGCTCTACCAATTGAGCTAACCAGGAGGCGGTTAAACTGCAATCTGCCTTAGAATCTCGACACAAATGGCAACAGTTACACTCACAATCGATGGCGGGGTGAATAATTTCAAAGTCAGAAATTGTATTTCTAAACGCGAGTTATTTAACAGAGATTGGACTCTTGACATGCAAACGCATATTACGGAGACAGAGACCTTGCAATACATGAACTTTTTCCACCCAGCGTAAATACGGGATTTGTAAAAGGAGAAGCCCCACGCCTCCTAGGAACGAATTTATCTCGCTCCACGTTTAGTAAAAAACCTACAGAGGTTCAAAATACCCTTCAAAAATTGAGGTAACCTGGATGAGGGTTTTGAGAAACGTATCTCTGGAGTTATTTCTGCAGGAGAGAAGTATACCTCAAAACAAAGAAAATAGCGCGCGCACAGAAAATATTGCCTTTTGTAACAGAATCTCATCCGGCTCTGCCAAACGTCAAGAACACACAGATGTGGAGATGACACCTCAAAACTGACCCTTATTATCGCAAAGGAAATTCGTCAAGAGATATACTAATAAGAGCTAAACTTTGAGGGTAGTGCACTAGGGAACGGTAGGAGAGGCAGAGGCCTATCAACACCTTTCAACGTTCGACTGCCTTTTTCTTTCCAGCTTTCCGAGGTTTCGCTTCACGTAAGGTAGAGGTTTTCATGGATCAAGTGACTCTTTTCATTGCTCTAATTAAACTGTCCTTCATTCAATGATTATGATAGAAGATTTACCACACAACAATCGCGATTGTTTAATTTTCCTTCGCTTATGAATATAGATTTACAACACGATTGAGCAGTAGTAACGCTATGTAACGCAACACACTAAACGCCACAGTGGGCCTTTTCGCTCCATAGAAGGGTCTCAAACACTATCACTTAAAATGCATAAAACATCTGTACCGTTGGAGTACGTTTGAGCACGTTCAGACAGAGCTGTTGAAGATGGATCAAAGTGTCCATAAAAGTCTTTGAAAGGCTTTAAACTACGACTACAACGAATTTCACCTTTTCCAAAACCGGTCGCGAATTACATGCTAAATAACAGTGGTTGCGTTTGTCCTTGAGAACGATAGAATACGCGACAAAAACGCACGAAAATACTTCTACATATTCAGAATATATCAAATTATATTTACCTATAGTGAAAGGAAAAAGAAACGGCCTAACTTTTACGGAATGTTGCGTCAAAATCCGCCAATTTCTGTCATATTGAAAATAACGCTACCACAATGCAATGTAATCGGAGTGCGCACACCGCCTCTACTTAAACCATGTAGAGATTCTGGTTAGTTCCACATCTTGTGTTGCAGGCATGTATGTTACTAGCATATTGGAACATGGTGTCACAGACTTTAGGTAGAGGGCTTTTAATCCAAAAATGCAACAGCTTTAGACCTTGAGTCAATGAACAGTATTAACTGTTATAAAGCCTGGTAAATTAATCAAGGGTTGGGCACACTGTTTCTTTATCAGATGTTGTAACAAAGGAAATTAATTTTAAATTGCATAATGTTATTTTCACCAACATTGTCTTTAATAGCTCGTGTACCACATAACTGAATAACTAGCAGACCAAATTATTACTTTACATCTGGTAATAAGAGGACAAACGGCAGGAATTACAATTGCTAAACAGATTGCTCTGTGATGAGCAGGGTCATTGGCCCACAGAATATGAGGTCGCTAAGATCTCATTAAAACATTGGAAACACAAAAGAATTTACTACTTCAGCCAGATCAGTACATGTCACCCAAAGATCAACAACTGGAGACTGATTTTCCTTTTAGAAAAACTGTAGTAACGAAATTACCCCACAGAAATTTTGGGAGCGCGGTCGATATTGGGACTCCATATCAAAACCTTTTCGGGAGTACAAATATTGCAACCGGAAAGAAATTATTTCGTAGACTGGTCAACATAGCACTTAGACACATGAACACATATTAAAAGACTTTCACCGCTTAGGAGTCAAAGTGTTACGTGATCAAATGAGTCTTTCCTTGACAGCTTCCTGGCCGCCATTTCAAATCATCTAGGCCCTCTGGACAGAGGTCTTTGAAGTGCGAGTGGTGAGAAAGATCAGGAACAAGAAATGTTTTCGCAAAATGAAGGATTGAGGTTGAAGGTGTTATTTAAGTTGTCAATCATGTCTTGCACAGTAATGTGGCTATGGGCAACAAGTGCGGCATCGTCTGCAAACAGTAGATCTCTCACAATGATGTGCTTTATTCTTGTTTTTGCTCTATGTCAAGCCAGGTTGAAGAGTGAACCATCACATCTCCAGTGGAACAAGACGTCGCCAGGTGTTCGATATTTGACCCAGATAGACTCCATGTTGCCGCGCATCTTTACAATAATAAATCATAGATGACGCCAAAATGTGGTAAGGACAAAAAAAGTGGCACACGGGGCGTAGTTGTTGATGGTGACGTCATCTATGGATCTGTTCTCCAATATATCGTGAGTTAGAACCAGTCAAATGCGCTCATAATTCACCTGTATCGAATAGAAGGCTATAGCTGCTAATCAAAGGCCCTAATTAGCGAAAAGAAAACAATAAGGGGTAAAGGTTAATGCGTCTTCTTGCTTCTTCACCCCTGGGAGGGTTAATGCGTCGCCTTTTTAGTTCCCCACCCCTGGCAGGGTTAATTTTTCCTCTTGCTTCCCCAACCCCTCCCTATAGCACACTGGAACACTATAGCACACTATAGCACACTATAGGAACACTGGTGTGAAGACCCACCTGTCTGACCGCTCGAATTTACGGAATTAAAATGCTCTCTACATCCTCTGATCAGTTTCTGCAGTAGTTTCTTTGATCATTATCGATATACTTTGAAATATTTTTCCGATCACGATCTTTTCTGATCAACCACTGGGCAAGACTGGTTGTACACAATTCTACAGGGATTTACAAATTAAAGTTCATTTTCCATTTAAGCATAAGGGAGTTGACAATTCGTTAATGTGTAACTGATCATCATTGTTAAAGGGAGTCGAACACTTTATCGAACGGCACAAAGATGGCCGCCCAACTTTCAACTTCTGAGGAATATAGAAAGATGGCAGTGATATCGGGCATTATGGGACATAACCAGTCAGATTTCAGAATCGTGTAATCCTCTTCTCTGATTGGCTGTATCCCACAGTACCCCTTGTTACTAATAGAGATATATGATAAGGATATATTGTGGGCTTGTCCAACAATCGAGACATTTCTTTTAATTCAGAAATTTTTCCGAGTGGGCACACTTTATAGGAGTTTGATAGTAGCACACAACGTTTGTAAAACCAACTGTATACTGTCGCTTATCAGCAATATTGACTTAGCACTACACGCATTGTTTAACTGATTACGTAAACTGAGAGGGAAGTATAAATTCCGAAACAAACTGAAGAATATATGGTTAGCGGGCAGAGTATTTGTAATTCACACAAACTGATCTGAGTGTGATCTGTCAATCTAGTATACTGACACTCAAACGAGAAAAAATAATTAAATGTAAATAGATTAGCATTGATACTTCTGTTTCTATAATATCAACGCGTTCTCCAGCAAACAGAGAATAGATTAATTCATAAGAAAAGTGATATCTTGTTTGAACCCTACATTCTCCCAAATAATTTGCAAGCTGAAGGAGAGAATTACTGACCCGATAAGTCGAAGAATTATATGGAGCAAAAGTAAATCACACGTGGTTTTCTTATCTTCTAAATTCTTTGCAAATAAGTAAAATGAATTGAAGCTTTACAAGACATATTACAGCTACAAATATAGTTTGTAAGTACAATTTGAAAAGCACCCTTACGTTTATTCATAAAAATGGTAACAAATATTCATTTCGTCACCCAACTAGTTTAGCTCTTTAGTTATTTTGGGTGACCAACAACTGTATGTATTTTTAATATATTTCTCGTTTAATTTGTAACTAAGGTAATTTTACAGTTCAAATAAACCTTGTCTTGTCTTGTCATTGCGCCTAAGCTGAACAAAACATTTTCGAACAATTACTGAGATGGTTGCATTTTCTTTATTTTCCTCCTTCCACTAAAAAAATTGAGTAGCGACTGAAATTGGAGCTGCAAGGGTCTGATCTACATCCTGATCCATTAAAGCTCGCGCATTTACATTAGCACTTGAGGACTTAACTCAAACTACAATCCAGTTTCTAAACAACATTTCCTGGTTCTTCCGGTTTCTCCTTCAATTCCTTCAAACTCTGAACTAAATATTTCAGTTCTGAAAACATCACCATTTGCTCGTGTAGTTGTATCTCCAGGCCTTCGCGTGCGATCTGCAATTGTTCCATTTCCCTACGCAGGGCAGGTTGCATTCCATATGTATGTTCACTTAGCCATTTAAGCACTGCAAATTCTGCCTGCAGGTCTACATCTGTTACTCGACTGGAAGGGTCTCCGTCTTCGTCACGGTGGCACATCTAAAACAGGCGGAAATCGTACGACTCAATTTTATAAGAATTAAATTTTTAAAGATTACAGAAAAAAAGTAAGACAGTGATTATCATAGTTGCGAGCCATGATCTCTCAAGTCCAGAATTATGGAGTACAGATGTGCGTGGATTATATATTGATAGAATGAAGTGAGATCTACGAGCTCTCCGGCTGGTCGTACCGTATATGATCAATCAGGACCCAGACATCCGTAAGAAAGAGAGAGAAGGGGGGTGCCACAGGAAAGGGCACCTTAGTAACCCGGAAAGGGAAATTTCGTGACGACCGTAAAAAGCTTTGATAACATGGGACACTTTTGTAACCGGGAAACTTAAGTAACGAGGTAAGGCACTTTCGCAACCTCATGAGGAACTTTAGTAACGAGGTAAGGCACTTTCGTAATCCTATGAGGAGCTTTAGTAGCGAAAGGGAACTTTGGTAACGAAAAGAGGAACTTTAGTAACATTACCGTTAACCTTATGTAACTTAAATTAATGTCTGAAAACGAACCGGAAAATGGAGTAAGACCATCTTAACATATCAAATTGGCCCAATTTACAGAAACGAGAGTTTATCTTACTTGCAGAATGTCATGAAACTGAACTGTCCCTAAATAATGTCAACTCCTGTGGGTTTTTCAATCTATGCATGACCGTTCTCATGCGAACCATTCTTTTCAATTATTTGAGAAAATTGTCAAAGTAAACTCCTAAAAATTTCCTCTTGATATTTTTTTATGATACATTTCCATATGAATAAATTAGTAGGGGAGATTATATTGTGGTGTGTGTCGGGTTAAGATGTAGCAAACTAGGACACAATGTGGCGGACTCATTATTTCCGACACAAATTTCTCTGTTTGCCCAACGGCACGAAACATTTTTGCGAACACAAACTTTGCTTCCGAGGCAAAAAAAGGGTTCTGATTTTTCGTCAAATAATTTTGTGTCCACAACAAAAATTTCCTCGTTTGCTAAGCAGGGAAATATCGTGAGCAACAGCATGTCCGGTGCAATGGGTCCCCGTCTGCCACCGCCTCTTTGTTACTACTAGTCACTGGTAAACCACAGGCGCCAAGTAGAAATGGATCCTTCGTTGAAATTCAAGATTTCTTCCTTTTATAAAGCTGGTGACTACCCCAATTATCAGTACTAATTCTCGTATTCTCAAATACAGGATGTGATATAACAAGTGATCTCTGCAACTTAGAAACTATTCTCGCAAAGAAAAAACATTGTGTACCTTCATTTTGTTAACACAACCAAAGAAACTAAAAACTTAGTTGTTAGTCATTTGATTCTCAAAAGAGTATGGCATGAAAGGAGTAATTAACTAATTAAAAATGAATAAAGGCTGATAGTTTCCAAAGAAACTGTTTGGGGCTGCGTCGGTGGAAGTAACGAAATAATTTGGATATATCAACGAAGTTGAAATGGTAAATGGTAAATGATAAATTATATCAACTTTGTTGATATATCCAAATTATTTAATTAAAAATGATTCGGACTTCAAAAAAGCACACATGAAAGGAAGCACCGTAAAACTTTCAACTGGTTCTATCTCGAGGAAAGGTTTCATTTCTAGACTTAAAACGAAACATAAACAAGTTTTAAACTTAAGTTAAGCGTAGTTTTCAGCCACTTGCACTAACAGTAATGCCAGGAATTTGAAAACAGAACCCAGTATCACTCTTGTAAAAAACGTTACTCAATCACATAACAAGGTAAAGGTTTTACGCTTTACTATCTTCTATTTGAAATAATTACTCATCATGTTTTAAACTAATAATACATGTATTACCAAAGTGTTACAACATCAGGACACTTGTAATAACCACCACAACTTTCCACCTGGTCGCGTTCCTTGTCTGGCTATCCGCAATTGCTTTTGAATAAACTAATTCTTGCGTTTTATCAACAGAGGTAGTCAAACATAACGACAACAGTGTTGAAGATAGCTCTCACAAAAAAAAGGACAACTTATCGCCCCCTATCCGTAATTTCTATTTTCTGACTCGTTTCAAATCCAATGGTAAGTTTTTCAATTAATTTTTTTTTTTGTTAAATTTCTTGATACCTACTTTAACTTGTGTCAAATTTTTGTAAAGATTGAGTCAATCAAGAAGGTACAATTGTGATTTGAAAGTCGCAGTGTAAAAAACGGGGATTTTTCGAATCGTGAAACTATTCTTTAACATGAAAAGTCATTTGGAAACACGTCAGATTATTTTGAGTCGCAGTATCTTAAAACTTAAGTGCAGTGGTAGTCTAGAGAGTCACATGGCGTCGTAATGGTAACCCAATGGCTACAACGTGTTTATGAGATGGACTAAGAAACTTTCAGTAAAGTGCTTACCACCACTTGGGGCACCTTTGCACCCTCTTTGCCACTAATAACTGGCTACAAAATTTCAGTTTTGATCGTGAATTTCGGTCGTCTGCAGAGATGTGGTGCCCGCTGGAAGGCTTCCTCAACGCAAGTTTCAGATGTTACCACTTTATGTTGAGGAAGCCATGACCGAAAAAGGGAAATGTTACTGATGTGCCCGACTTTCCCTTTGGAGAGGGAGGGAGATCTCTCTCTCTCTCTTTCCCCCGCTCTCTCTCTCTCTCTTACGTGCTTAGTCTCATTTAACCACAGGAACAATCCCTTGTAGCTGGAGGACTGTGCCGAGGTGTGAGTTAGCAGATCACTGATGACGCCAAATCATTTACAGCTTTAATTTCTAACTCATCGTCCTTCCTATGCGCCCCCCTACTTCAAACATACCTTTGTGAGCACTGTAATGCCTTCAAATCCCAATGTGACGAAGGGATTTAGTTTTTGTCCTGAGGTATACTCCATTGAACATCGCGCTACTTCTCTATCATTCAAGTAGAACAAAACAGAGATTTTGCCTTCGTGTTGTTCTTTAAAATCAACTTCACAGGCGATCGTATCACCGCGGTAAGCCATGGCTCCTAAGTCAATAACGAAAGATATTTAGTACAGAAGCCATGCATTCCTCGGTTTCCTTTTAGACACAGAAATTTAGTGTCGCAAGGTCGGACTAAGGAGTGCGGTTAAACATTGAATGCGTTCTCAGACGCCATGAGATCCTCCCCAATAAGTAAGTGGAGGTTTCACCCATTGCAAGTTCGCCCCATAACGTAGAGCAAGTTCTCCCCCACCCTTATTACCGGTTCGTCCCCAAAAAGTTCTACTCGTTTCGTTATGATGGAGTGTATTCTTTTGAATCTACAACAAAGGGGTTGTTTCAAAAGTTCGTGCCCTTTTTTTGAACACAGAGAAAATCATTGCTTTCTGGACCGTCCATCTGATGCAACCTTTCAAGTTGATAACCCATGTTTATCCTTTTTTCATGGACAATTTCATTAGCCTGACGTCCCCCTTTTAAATGACATTTTTCAGGAGTCGTGACAAATAATGAACCAGCTTTTTTCGGGTAAAGGGAAAAACTTTAGAATTTGAGGAGCTCTCAAATCTTTTTTTATAAAATTGGTCAAGTTTCTACGGCACCAGCTTGGCTGTTAGCCGGTGCTCCCTCCTGTAGAAAGATCATTCTCCCACTGGAGCTAAAAAGACTTTCCTTCCACGGATTCTTTCGCTGTAGATCTTCGGCTAAGTGAAGGCTTGTCTTCCTTTTTATGTATATTATTAATGTAATAGTCATATTTTAACGTTTCCCTGTGGTACAAAGCTGAGTTTTTTAATTCCGTGGCCTGTCAATCCAGCCCCTTCTTGGTTTGTCCTCAAAATCTAAGCGACGTGACCATTTTTTCACTCAGCATTCGCTCGTCTGTAATATTTTCGGTGTTTCTCGAATTAATATCCTAGAGCACCTCAAAACTGAGGCTTGGAAGCCATTTCACGTGTTTTCGTCTTTTTTAAAACATTTAAAGATAAAAAACTGGGATAAAACATTTCGTAAAAGCTTATTCAAAATTTGTTGACGACGTTTGGCTAACGTCATTATCAAGTCAAAGAGTGAAAGATAACAAATGTTGACGTTATCTTGGCCAGAATGCACAGCACCGATGTTTCAGTTGCTTTTCTCACTACTCTCCACCCCAGCCTGTCTCAGTTTAGGACGGAGCTTCCTATTGAAAACAAGATCTCCTTCATCGGCATTGAAATAACCAATAACCGAACAAAGATCGACACACAAGTATATATAGATATCCAACAAACACTGGCTTTTTGCTGTATTTTAAAAGCCAGACAGACAAGCACTATGCTTGTTCAAAACAATGATTGATCATGCATATGCTCTATCCTCAACGACTGAAGCTTTCAATCAAGAATGCACTAGACTACGTTCCATCTTTACTCGACTTGATTATCCCTTGGAAATGATTAATTCTACCTTTACTAAAACCATTCAGAGCTTTTTACTGGCACGAGAGAGAAAAACAAGGAAGACAATAGCGTTGTGCGAGTGAGTTTGCCCTTTAAAGATCAAACATCAGCTAACGTAGTGAAAAGGCAAATGCGTAATCTCAGTCACAAGATTGGTACTACACTACAATCCGTGTTTATCAGCAGAAGATTGGAACAAGACCTGAAGCCCAGAAAAATCAAGCCTTCAATCGTAAATCAACAATGCGATGTGCGTTGTTTTCTGCTTTACATGTGATCTGTGTGATTCAGATTATGTCGGCTTTACAGCTCGACACCTCCATCAACGTATTGCTGAACACAAAAACTCTGCGATCGATAAACACTTTTCGACAGCCCATGGGGATACAGGCCTCCTCAAAGAAAGCCATTTCCGCATGCTAAAACAGTACCAAGGAAAATTTGAATGTCTTCTCTACGAGATGCTTTTCATCAAGCAGCGCAATCCCAGTCTCAACACGCAAACTGATTCCATTAGCGCAAAACTCTTTGTTTAAAAGAACATTTCAATACCTACTGTTTTTAGTATTTAAACATTTGTTATCTTTCAATCTTTGACTTGATAATGACGTTAGCCAAAGGTCGGAACGTTGTCCACAAAATTTGAATATGCTTCGACGAACTGTTTTATCGCAATTTTTTATCGTTAAATTCGCCTTTTTTATTGGGAAAAATGTACGAAAACAGGACCACGACTATACACAGAGAAACATGGGTATTTGCAGTTTGCACATTTTGGCTGGAACAGAATGATTTAAAATTTTTCCTTTTCTTTTCCTTTCGAATATCTTTAAAACTTAAAAATAAGTAAAAACAGGTTATTGTTTTTTTGAAATACGGCTTCAAGAGGACAAAAATGAGTAAGATCTAGGCTTTTAGACAAAGAACACGAACTTTCGAAACACCTCGTATATAAATCAGCAAGAATCTCACAGAAAGACCATAAAAAGAGTTTGGATCAACGTGCAAATTACCTGCCGTGTTAAATGACACACGACAAGTGCACGAGGGGTGGAAAGTCACTGCCTTACCCCGGTCTGTACCTAACAGGTTTGCCACCATTTAATGCTAATGTTCACAGCAAGCCTAATCTGAAAAACTAAAAGGGTTTCTTTAGGAGCCAACACCTATCCTGAACTAAAAACCAACGTGCTAATTTCATAACTTTACTCTCGCACCGGTCTGTCGTTACGCCCGGCATTTCACAAAGACTTATCGTGCCTTCGAACTCAGGTGTTTGCCTCAGAAACAATATTATATGCTACTTGAAACAAATCATGATTTCGACAGAGAAGGAATAAGTCATGCCGTCAGAAAACGAGCTGAAAGATATGGAGGGGGAACTCGCTTTGCTTTGGGGGAAGAACTCGCAAAAGTGAAAGGGGGCAAGCTTGCAATGAGACAAAACCTCCGCTGTAAACCTTGTTGCAGATGCGAGACACCTGTCGTCAAAGTAAACCATACCTTTGACCTCCCTCCCCTTCTCACGGCAGCCATTTTCAAATATTGTTCCATAGTATACGTGATAACCGACCGTTCCATCATCCCAACCAGGCATTGCGTGACAGCTGTAATGATTATTCACAGCACCGTCAGACTCACGTACAGCACCTAATGCTATAATTCGCCTCTCCCCAGTCTCCTGAATAAGTACCTGCAATAAAATGACGGTGTTATCTTTCTACTATGGAGGAACCCTTTGGCTCACCCTTTAAAAGTATTTATAATAGTTCTTAAAAATAAATAAGAGTAAGCTTAAGAGTGCCTACCGAAGAGGAGTCATTGGAACCTAGATTTTTAAAGGAAGAAAGTCGACAAGAGATACATTACTGTTTCACATTGAGAGAGAGTATCATAAAGGAAGCAGCATGTAATTTAAATTTGTTGCTTGCAATAATTCTCTTCCTATGAAGGAAGAGTTCTCTCGGTGGGGGAGAGGGGTAGTTTCACAGTAAAAAATGTATCTATAAATTAAATGAATATCTAACAGATTGTATATGTATGTATGTTTGAATCAAAACGTCACCTCAAATCGTGGCATCTCTATTGTAAAGGGATACTTGAACTGGGCACTGTGAATCTTCTTACGGATTCCTCGATTCCTACATCTGTAGCAGAAATCAGGTCCCAAGTAAGTTAGGAGGCAGCCATCGATAGCAATTCCCGGCGAGTAATACCACGCCTTTAAATGACAGTTAAACAAAACTTTAGGTACATGAAAGACTTGCACAAAAGTGAGGCTGAGATCGACGCAGACAAACATGATAATGCCTATTTATCTTTTATTCGAAGTTCATTCTTTTAAAGGATTAATTAAAAACATTCTTGAAAAGTATTCACAACCACAAACATACTAATTTCTACTCCAAACGCCTCAAGGAAATAACAAAAATATGGCAGAAATTTTACCCAGTAGTTTTCACCATTTCACATTTATTTTTGGCTGAGGGAAAAGATGATAAATGTATCTCCGGGTGTAGCAAGAACTCTGGAGTATGGTAGGGAGAACCTGAGCCTGAAAAACACTCACCCTTTGGCCAGACGCAAGTTTCTTCTCATTGTTTCCACGCGGTTGGAATATTTGCCGTACTATCTGATTGGTAATTTTCCGACCACCTTCGTTTTCTTGCACTAACTGGTCTATCTTTTTCTCCTCTAAGCAAAGAATAGAAACCACCTATTAGCTAGGCCTCTTTTGAAACGCTGTTTGGAAAATCATTACAATACGCTTCTATGTTATTCATATAAGTAGTCACCAGATCAATTTGGCTAGCCAAATTGCTCGAGCCCGTGGGGAGTCTCCGAAAATTTTTCGAGCGCTGATTTACCTCAAATTTACGCAAAAACTTGCTTTGATATTTTAAACTTTTTGTAACGAATAGTCGAGTGTATGTCCTCTTTCTCAGTTAGGTATCATTTGATACCAATACATAAGGACCAACACGCTCGTAATTTTCCCCGCCTTTCGTGCGCACTGTGCAATAATAAACTCCTGGACAATTTTTGTTCAGGGCCCCCAGTTCGCACGTTTCAATACTTTTTTAAACACTTCTTTTCTAAACTTTTAGCTAATCGTTGTTACTCTCTTGGGTGTTTTTATTCTTAGAACGCTCCTTCAAATTCTGAATTAAAACGTTGCTACTTTCTCCTAACCTTGAATTTTTGGGATTCAATTTCAACTTTCTGCAATATATGGGATACCTTGACGTGTTCTCAGCCACTGATTATGCTGAAGTTTTTGCAACCATGTTATCCCTGTCTCTAATCATTTGAATATCTTTAACAACATTTGTTCAATGAAGCTTTGCAAGTTTTAGTAGCAAAACATCTCTTTTGCGTCCTCTTCTGTTTCTTGACCGTATCACAGATGGGTGAGGCTATCTACAAATCTAGTATATTCCCCTACCTGTAAGTGGAAATTCATAACCGAATTTCTGGAAGTAAACGCTCTCTAGTTCCTTAACTACTTTATCCAGACCTTCTCTCTGTCGAATCAGAAAAAGCTCTAATCAAAAGCGATGTAAAATCCCTGAGCAGACATAAATGATATCAACAGGGGTGGCTTCTGTCAAAACTCACAAAATTTATTAGCACGGCGTTACCCAGTTTACCTTTCCTTCCTCATCTAAAGCAGAACTGACAAACCATGTTTTACACGAACGCTTCCGACCGAGGTTCCAGAGCACTATCAGTGGGACAGACAAAAGGTTGAAAGGCACTGGTATTGGATGATAGGTACTGTAAGTCCGAACAGTAACTGCCTTCTTGAAAGACCACTCCTGGAGTGAGTTATCCTAATAGTGGAGAAACAAAGAGGGGCTTGACAGTTTTTAAGGATGGACCAGTTGATGAGAGCAACACGCGCCCCAACTTAAGCAGAACAAAGACTATGATATATCATACACAAGAACAATACTCAAACCGAGTTTCAGTTTGAAACTACGAATCCAATTTCGCAGATGGGTGGCACAAAGAGAATATCTTCCACGGGAGCCTTGAGTTACTCCCCTTGGGCAGACCATCGCTGAGGCAGAGAAACTACATAGGTATAATGTGGGACCTTTCTAACCAGTTGGATTAATATTGGAAGCAAAAATACAATTATACATGATCATAGAAGCTAGTTAACTTTACGAAAAATGTATCTAGGTAAAAAGTTATGCCAAAAAGAGTCCGATTTTACAGCCGAGAACTTCTCATATTTTCGCTCTTAATTCTGTATGTATACATAGAATATTCAGCAAAGGTAGAAAGACTGTTTAGTACCTGAACCTGCTGATAGGTATTGGAGAGCAAAGCAATCATCATGTTAACGAGGAGAATAACTGCTATGATCAAGAAGAAGATGTACAGCAGGTGAATTAGAGAAACGGAAGGATTGTCGACGGAATTCAACTTATCCAGGTCAGCTAAGCCAAGTAAAGACCAGCATAGGTGTGTCGCTATGTTCCACCAACTGAAAAACAGTTTCAAAAGCACGAGTTAGACCAAAGAGCCATTCAGTCTTTTTCAATAGAAAGCACGCATAATGACCGATATAGCTGTTTCTGAACACCTGCGTTTTCGACGCAATCGTGTCACTGCTCTTTCATGGATCATCGATTCAGAAATTCTATTCGGGAATGCTAGTCAAGTCCATTACATGAAACATTAAAACATTTTTGTCTTAGTATGCAGAATAATGCAAGATAATCCTGAACGTGAGGGATACTCTCTTCCCCGATAGTTTACAAAACGAAAAACGGAAATTTTGGTGAAGCTAAACTCCCTCTCGGGATAACTGAATTCCCCCTTCCCTGAGGAATACAGATAGCCAGCCATTAATCACAAGTGAAACATAGCTGACCTATTGGGTCGCTATCTTTCTCGCCTCAAAATTTCAGCTTCCAACCTTGTGTTTTAAATAATCGCGACGTATTTAAACGCAAAATTCAATTTTATCAGGAAACCCGTGTATCTCCACTAAAACGGGACCGAAGCTCTGCGTGCCGTCGCGCTAGTTTGCTGACGAGATTGACGGGAGATAAAAATAATAACTGCTAATGTGGGATAAATTGGCCACAATAGTGACGCTTTTATTTCACCCAACATCAAGAACATTGATATAACAAACATCACGCAATCTCTTAAGCAAAGGTGGGGTTAAATATCGGCAAAGAGCCAAATACGTATAAAAAGGCAACAAAAGCCTGAAGAGAGGGCCGGAGCATGGGGATGGGGCGGGAAAATTCTTCTACAGCACCGAAAATCTGTGTTCGGATGTTAACACGATGGAAATGAAGGCAAGAAGGACCAGGAGAGAAACTGACCTTGCCTATAACCTTGGTGCTATTTGATCTGACCTCATTTGATTGGCTTAAGATCTGTGATTGACAACGCTCCTTGCCCCATGCAAAGGCACACCGAAATACTTAACTCTATAAGACGGGCCTCGAGATAAAATCACATTACGCTTTTGTCATAATGTTGGCCTTTTTGGAAAAATATGGCGTAATTTGGTATATTTAGGACATCATTGCAAAATGAGAATTAAAACAGTAACAAGAATTTCACTCTTACCAAATCATCCCTGATTTACTACATGCCCTTAAAACAATAGGAAAAATTAATGATTAAATTTTTCACACAGTCATAAAGATATAGTGAAGAAAACGGCCTTTAAGAGAACATCTGGCATTTACACCCCTGTTATGCTTCCAATTCAAGAATTAAATCTCACTTGGTTAGCTTTTGGCAAACTGTCACCTCCGTTGGGCCCCCAGACACGAATGAGGTTCCTCTTCATAAGGTCAGAGGAGGGCTCTCCTACCCCACTAACTACCTACTTAAAAAAATTCACGCTCTAAAGAAAAAAGAGTAAAAACTTAAAAAGCCCAGCATGTTAGAATCTAATATGTCATCGCTGGGTTGGAGAATATAGATAGATCGCAATCTGTACTCACAAATTCTCCGCGGATTCTTTTCCTAACGTATAGGCTTTCTCAGCAACATAAATCTTGGTCATGGCCAACGAAAACGCCAAAATCGCGGCCAAAAACTGCCACAATATCGGCATGACATCCCAGATAATAAAGAATAAAGCGATTTGTATTGCGCCCAATCCCTGTATGCACTCCATGACTTGACCAAAGGCTCTCAGTGTAAGAAGCATGGCGATGAAACCATAGCAATACTCTGATACAGCCAAGAGTCTGTTGTCTGACACGTCCGTGAAGTTTCTCCATACGATTATGCGTAAGATGAAGGTAATCAGGTAGAAAGTAAGAATGATGAAATCAAGTACATTCCAACGGTCACTATAAAAGTAATGCATGTCAACTGCATTAAAGGAGCATAAATAAACATTTTCATTGCACAGATTTTATGAGTAGTATACAAATGAAGATTGTGGCTCATTTTGAGACAACCTTAATTATAAAGTCAACTCACGAAGGCAACCTTGTTTTCAAGGTTGTCTTTGAGTCAGCCTTACTTTCAAAAACTGAGTCTTGAGACATTTTTTAGAAAACCTTGATTTCAAGGCAACTCATGAAGACAACCTTGATTTCAAAATGAGTTCTGGCTCATTTTTAATTTCAGGAGTTCCCTGTGTGACATTTAAAGTCATCTCTTTGCTTCATCACGCCTGAATTTCACAACATGACCTGTGAAATTCAGTCTTTGATGATTTGGATCGGCATCAAGTCGTTGAAATGATAGATATATCATTAATAGGTCACACACTTAAGGCCTTTGTTGAGGATGTCGAGCTGTGCATCTGAAAGGATGAAGATGTAACATTTCACACTCCCTGAACCTGATGCTTTCCTGTTAATCGCTAGCCGAACTCCTTTCGTATTCACCAATCTCAATCCTGTACCGTGAAGATCATTGTCTTTCATACTTCTAAGATCAATTAAAAAAGACCGAATCTACCTCCAGCATAAGAGTCTTTTACATTCAACGCGCTGTTTTTCTTCCCAATTCTTGCAAAGACCTCTTCCCACATATCTCTTGTCTTCATTCCTTGACTGTAAACCTTATTTGGGGTTCCATTCACAACAACCAGCCTCCCAGTTAGCTCAATAGACAGAGCGCTGAACTGTTCTGCGGGAGGTCGAGGGTTCGAACCCTGGCCGGACCAACACTCAAGGTCTTAAAACAAGTGAGAAGAAAATGCTACCTTTCAATATCAAGAAGTGGTTAGATACTCTAGTCTTCTCGGATAGGGACGAATAAATGGAGGTCCCATCTCCTGCAGGGTTAGGGGTAGGAGACGTTAATTTCCAATGCACGAGATTACGGTGTGATGGAGTTCCTCCCCTGGGGTGGTTTCTGGGTGGGAATTGGCCCTGAAAAGCCCCCACAGGGAATGGTCAATCAACATATGATGTATCTATGTATGTAACCTTTACCTCAGTGATGACGAGATCGAATGTCTTCGCACTCTCCCTCGTTGCTGCTGTGTAAGTCTCGTAGAAGAGAAGGAGTCCCTTCATTGACCTTCTTAGAACATTGATGCTCTCATTGATGGTTGTGCCAGAACCCTTATCTATTAAGATTGTTCTGAGATGAGTGCCATGCTCGTACATGAATTTCTTTCCATATGAGTATTTCAACGACGCCTCATCAGCGAATTTTTTTACTGTGAATGATATCATACTCAAACTTGATGTTAGTCAATACACAACATTACCGGCAGTTGCAAGCCTGAGCTCATCAGAAAGAGCTCTCGAAAAGAAGAATCCATGATCCTTCAGAATCTCATTATCTAATGGAATCCTGACATGTTCTCATAAACTTCACTGAGCTTCCTCTCTTTACCAACACCTCTTTATCCCAAGCCTTGCATCTGATCATCGAAAGATCTACAGATTTAATACCTTTTCTGAAAATGCTTGCTCTCTTACTCTCAATCAAGAGGAGTTCTCATATAGCTTGAATAGATCATAAACATCAGTGTCCTCCGACATACCTCCTACTACCCCATTATCAAGCCTTGGTACTGGAACTCTGAGGACCTCAACAGGAGAAGCTTTGCTTGGGTTGAAGGTAACTCTATGAGTTATGCGGTCAGCCCCGAGTGTGTTAGACGTCTTTTTTTTCAAACGAATAAAGGAGTAAGTTTCTAAAGAAACTGTGGTGCTGCGTCGGTGGGGGTAACAAGGTAATTTAATAATATCAACTAAGTTGAAATTGTAAATTGGCCACCGTAAAGAGTTAAAAGCTAACGTTTAAAGCGTTAGCCCTTCGTCAAAGCGAATGGCGAAGGGCTAACGCTCGAAACGTCAGCTTTTTAACTCTTTAAGGTAGCCAATTTACAATTTCAACTTAGCTGATATTACCAAATTTTCTTTATTTCAAAGTTTGGTTTACTTTGTTTACTGACTTTCAAATGGCAGGATTTTTAAATACTGATCCTCTGTTGGAACACGATGATGATGACGATGAAGTTGAAGATGATGGGGTTACAACAACACTTTTTCGACCTGATAATCATTCAACTTCAGGGCCATCAGGGGAAGAAATTCCAGTGACGGAGAAGACAATGAACAGGGGGTAGGAGAAAGGGTCAAAAACAGCTAAAATATCCTTTACTGAAGGTTATACAACTAATTCGAAAGTCTTAACTTTAAATAAGAGTGCATGGAAATCGCTTGCTGAGAATTTTTCCTGAGGTTTCTTATAATGAAAGAGAAAGGTTGCAGGTGAAGATTTTTGATCATGAAGAGAAGGCATTTCCCCTGTGTACTGAAGAAAGGGGTACGAATAAGCAAATAAAAACCAAAACAAATGAAAACTTCACTTGGCCCAGAGCGAGAGGCTTGATTGTTCAGAAGGATAAAGAAATAGAGGAGCTGCAGAATTCCATTCAGAATGATCTGGGGATTGTCGATGATGAGAATGTAAACATTGCTTTAGGAGAACAAGCTAAAGAAAGGATAAAAGAAAATCAAGAGTAGATTGATACTCTGCGGAATGAGAGAGAAGAACTTGAAGAGAGATTATCCCTCTGTCACAGTTGGAAACATTTTAAAGAAGTACGGCTTCAAAGTCTCAGCTGTTGTCTTGGCAGTTGCAATCGAACGAACAGCGATTGGCGTTATTGTAAACACATTGGCAAAAGCTAAGTCTGTTGTTAAAAAGAGTAAGGAATGGGCTTCAGTCTCGGAAGAAAGATCGCCGGAACTCTACTAAGTCTCATTAGTTCAATAGTCGATGTCGTTTTCAGAGCAGCTAGTGACCAGTTTCCTCGGATAAAATGCATGGCTTCTGATAATAGGGGTTGCAATATTTACAGTTGAGCGATTTCAAAATAAGAGGCGATGAATTAAGAAGGCTGAGATCAGTCCAGTTGAAATCAATACGACTTTAATTATGTCATGATTTATCTCGCTGTCATCATCTGAACTTCAGTAAGGTCTCGTCAATTGGATTTCATGGGTGAGAAGTCGCTCTGTTGATTTTTTAATAAGCCTCTATTCGTATCCTTAACTCCGACTTATTTCATCTCCAAATTCATTGATTTGTTGACTCTGAGCTTCATGTTAGAATTTGCCATCTTCAGGCTGTTATTATACACAACAGTAATCTCTGTGTTCAGGAGAAGATTTAGGTCAAGTGCCTGTAAATGCCGCAAGATCAAGCCTCACTTTGCCTCATCGATCGCGAGCTGAAACCTCTGAACACTGTTTGAGCTGTCTGTCATTCTGATTGCATCTTCAACTACTACAAGGAGCTTGCGCTGAGCCTCTTGTCGCATTCTCGTGAAATTGAACGGCTGGAAGCTCTTCAGGATTTAGAGTGAGCTCGAAGGAAAATCTCCCTATTCCAAGTGCACGCTTTATATCATCATCCCAATACTTTCTGTCTGATCCTGGGACGCTCAATTGAACTCCATTTGATCGATTGAAGTAAACTTAAGCTGTCACCTGCCTTTTGTCAGCCTTCGGACTGGCCCCAAAGGGACCTTCGAATGACACTTGTGCACTGAGCTTATCAAAGTTTGCATTCAAATATTCTGCTTTGAAATTCTCCCAGGCTTTTCTCTTTGCTTTATCAGCAATTATTTCTCCTTCATCTGTTCTTAACAACGCAAATTTTTTTTGTTATTATTATGGTTCGCCTCAAAGAATCCCTCGTGAATGGCAGGAAAAAAAATCACATGTTAGGCTGGTGAGTATGTCTCTTTACAACTCATGGTATAACTAAAGTCGTACTGAGAAATCTCTGTATTTGATACCCAGGACAATCCATCGGTAAAGACAATTCCTGAAGGAAATTGATCACTCAATCAGTCTTCACCCATGAGGATAAGCGATTGTTCGATGCAGCAAAGTACTGTTGGATATATGAAGACACTTTCAGGCCGCCTCTGACAAAGTGAGAGACCATAGCCATTTCATGGGAAAATATAGGGGAGTAGCTCACTACAAATGTAACCTACAATTCAAAAAGCCGAAGTTCACTCCCGTCATCCTTCACAACTTGGCTGGTTATGACTTTTATCTATTCGTTAAGAATCTTGGCAAGACTGAAGGAAAAATCAAATGCATTCCCAACAATGAGAAGAGCTACATCAGCTTCAGCAAAGATATTCTTGTTGCCTCTTCCCATGATAAAGAAGGTAAAGAGGTAGACATTAATAATTAGCTTCGCTTTATCGACAGCTTCAAGTTCTTGGCTTTTTCTCTTGATAAATTGGTTAGTAATTTGTGTATTGATAAGCTAAAGGAAACTGAGAAATTTTTCAAGGAAATTGATTTGGTCTCAAGAAAGGACGTGAACCCAATTGATAACATGGATAATATCACTAAGTTTGATGAAACATAACTACCGCAAAAAAGCGTTTTTCTCAAAGCTGAATGACTGGAATATATCCTATGAAAATTATGAACGGGCAAAGAATGTCTTGAATGAGTTCAAAATCAAGACGTTAGGTGATTATCATGACCTGTACCTCAAATCAGACGTTCTCCTCATTGAATTGCAGACGAGTTTAAAGAGTTCAGAAAGGTGTGTTTTGAGAATGACGACCTCTACCCTGCTTGGTATTACACTGCCCCTGTATTGGCCAGGGATGCTGCATTGAAGGTGACAAACGTTGAGCCTGAGCTAATGAGAGATCCAGAAATGTTATAAATGATTAAACAAGGAATTCGTGGAAGAATCTCAATGACCTCAAATCGCTATGGAAGTGCAAACAACAAATATATGGGTAAAGCTTATGATTCGAGCAAGCCTACGAAATACATCACCTATCTTGATGCAAACAATCTCTATCAATGGGCAAAGTGCCAGCTTCTTCTTTTAAGAG